GCACTCCGCGTGGCCCAGCGTGGGCCGCGCCTGGGAGGCGCTGCGGCGAGCACGCGCAGCACGGCCGAGACTGAGGACGCCGACGCTGTCGTTTACATCGTGGAGATCTGCGTGGCCAACGTTGGCTTGAAGAGCGTTGTCAAGTCTGCACCTGCCGCTCAAGGCCCCAGCAGTGTGGTACATGGACGCTTCCCCGTTCGTGGCTGGCGCTGCGAGGCATCCCGTGCGGCCAGGCGCTGATGTCGAGGAGCTGCTGGCGGTGTTCGACCTTCTGGCGGTAGCCGGGGGCGCAGGCGACGGGAAAGACTTCCTGCCGCGCCCTGGGTGAGGACGACGGCGTTCTGCTCGATGAGAGCGCGACGGGTCCGAACGAAGCCGAGCCGTGTGAGGTGGATGTCACGGCCAGGGAGGACGACGGCCGGAAGACTCCCCGCGGAGGGCGAGCGTGCCCCTGGGCGCGCCTGCCCGCGGGCTGCCCCCGCCGTCCCGCCGAGGAGCCTGCCGGAGGAGGGGGGCGAGCACGACGGCCCCTCGCAGGCCAGTTCGGAAGAGCCAGCCGTGGAAGAAGACAGCGCCATAGACATGCTGTTCCGGCGTTCCGCGCGGACTTCTTGGACCTGCGCTGGGGCCCCACGGCGGCGCCTCCCGCGCCAGCCCTCGCGCGCGGAGCGCGCCAGGGGGGGGGGTATTCCAGCGCAGGTCCAAGAACCCTGCGCGGAGAGCGCCACACAAGTTTGTGCCTGTGGCGCTCCCTCTTCTTCTGAGCCGGCGGCCCTGGAGGCCGCGGGCGAGGGCATCGGAGCGCCTGGCGCCGGCGTCGGCGGCTTCACGGTCCCGGAGGGTGCGTGCCGGCGGCGCGGTCGCGCGCGGTGCGCGCGCCTCGGTCCGTGGCGCGGGGGTGCCGCGCCGCTGGGCTCGGCGCCGCCGTGCCGCGCCCTGTCCCTGCGTGGCGCTCGGCTCCAGCTGTCACCATCCACCAAACCACCCCAACCCAACCCGAAGGCTCAGATGTACCCTCGATTTCCAGTGGGGGGGGGGGGTCGGGAAACATCGAAAAAACATATGTGGAACCCTTACCCCCCCAACCCGAAATTCGGGTCTTCGGGTTGGGTTGGGGTGGTCTGGTAGGTAGTCAAGCTGGCGGTGGAGGTGCTGGTATCACCAGCCTCGAACTCATCCCTATCCCTAAGATGGACACGCCAAAAGACGACGACAATCTTAGGCATGCGCCCGGAAAAACTAAGGGGTCCCGAAGATTGGCATTGTGATGAGGCGATGCCCAGCTTAGGGATAGGGATGTGTTCCAGGCTGGTAATGGTAGGCGACGTTCTCGGTAGACGGGCGCTATCGGGCAAGCGACTTCTGGCCTCGCTTGCAGAACGGCGCCCGTCGCGCCCGACTTTGTCGACGCTGCCCGAGTCCAGGGCTGCGCCCCCCCCCCCCCGCCCCCGCCTCCGCGCGCGCGAGTGCAGCGAGCTCTGCGTCAGGGCTTGACCTCAACGGTGTTTTTGGTGATTTCGTGGGCCGTTCTCATTTCGATTTCGTTTTGCGGTACAGGCGGATTCGAGACAGAGGCGGGGAAAACGGAAACAAACGAAAACGAAAAACACCGTTTAGGATCAGCCCTGCTCTGCGTCATAATCTGGCGCCCAGAGTTATCTCTGTCAGATGCACGGAAGCGCCGACGTGGGGCTCCCAGGCCGTGGCGCTCGAAATCGGCGCCCTGGAAGATTGTGATGACGTCTGTCGTGCGAGGGCCGCCTGGCCGCCGCAGGTGTGCCCCGTGGTTTGGGGGGGGGCGGTCGCCAACCCTTCGTTTTGCAGCCTGACGCGCGCATCGGAGGGGGGGGGAGAGGAGCGGGGGGGAGAGGGGGCAAGACTGGGCGGCGAGCGAGGATGGGCGAACCAAGAGGGAGGATGGACGATGGAGACCTCATGTTGGTTCCCACGTTTGTCGATTCCAGGCCCCAGTGAACGCTGCCGCGATTTGGTGGGCGGCCCATGCTGCGCTTTTGATCCCTGCCTGCTTCGCGCACTGGACCTCGCGCTGTCCGCTTTAGGGGGGCGGCGGCGATGTGGTGGGGGCCGGGGTGTGGGGGCTGCCCACGGCTGGCGCCCCCGACGCCCCAAGAGCCATTCGGCGGCCCGCCCTCGACGTTCCCTGCCAGTCCCCGTCGCTCAACTCCTCAGGGGAGGGGAGGTGTGGCAGGCTGAAGGAGAGCGCGAGTGGAGGTCGGGTGTGACCTCAAGGCTTCGGTTCGGGCTGGGTCGGCCCAACCCTAGCCTTCCCCCTGTAGCCTGTGATGGTCCTCCCCCTCCTCCTCCTCCTCCTCCTCCTCCTCTTCCTCCTCCTCCTCCTCCTCCTCCTCCTCATCCTCATCCTCATCCTCATCCTCCCCCTCCCCTTCCCCCAGTCCTCTTCCCCCTCCCCCCCCTCCTCCCCCTCCCCTTCCCCCGAATCCTCTCCGAGCCCCCCCCCCGTCCTCCCCGACCTTCCTCGGTCCCACGTCTCCTCCGAGCCTCGATCCCCTCTCGCAGCGGTCTCGCCGCCCGTTGGCCCATGGCCGCCGCCACCGAGGCGGACGCGGAGAACCCCTGCGGGGGCGCCGCGGGGCCGAAGGCCCCGCCGCGGCCGCTCGGCGCGGCTCGGGGCGGCGCCCTCGGCGGCCCTCCGCCGCGGCTCGGGGCGGCGCTGCTGCTGCTGCAGGCGGGCCGCTGGTCGGCGGCGGCGGCGGCGGCGGAGGCGGCGGCGACTACGGACGCGAACACGACGAACAGGAGGACGCGGAGGAGGACGACGAGGAGCACGAGGAAGAGGCGGAGGAGGAGGACGAGGAGGAGGAGGAGGAGGAGAAGGAGGAGGACGACGAGGACGACGACGACGACGACGTTTTCGCTGCCGGCGCCGCCGCCGACAACGACGTCGTTGACGACGACGACGACGACCCCAGGACTTGCCAGGCAGACCTTTTTTTGCTCAGTCCCGCCTCGGGGGGCCTTAGGAAAGTTCCGAAAGAGCGAAATGATTTGCGGTCCTCCCCGACGGGATGCGTGATCCTTTTGGCTTTTCCTCCTCTTCCTCTTCCTCTCATCTCTTCTCTCTTCCTCCCCTTCCTCCTCGAGAGCCTCGTCCTCCCTGCCTTTTCCTTCTCGTTTCGTCTTTCTGCGCAGCTCCGGGCCTTGCGTGGACCATGGAGGGCGTGGAGGGCGTGGGGACCGCCGCTATGACAATCTGCGTGGATTTCGCTTCCCTGCGTGACTGCTCGCGTAAGGACGAGTGGACATCGTTTCAGCCGTGGGAGCGACGACGACCACGACGACGACGACGACGACGGCGGCGGCGGCGGCGGCCGCGGCGACGACGACGGCGACGACGACGGCAGCGGCGTTGGCGGCGGCGACGACGACGACGACCGCGAAACGGCCTCTTTGAGAGTTTCCTGCGCCCTTCGGTTTGCCCTAGGGGCCGGGGAAGGACCAGTGCCTCTTTCTTCTCTCTTCATCCTCCTCCATCTCCTCCTCCCACAACACGTCGGAGTGGTGCCCATCACCCCCCTAGCTGGCACCTGCGGCAATGCCGCCACTCAGGTGCAAACTGTTTTATATTTTTTTATCGAGGCTCGACCAACGACTGCACCCGAGAGTTCTTACTTGCTTGCTTGCTCCTCCTCCCACTCTTCTCCTCCGTGAAGCAGGGCGCGGGCAAAGGGACTTGACGGCGATGTGTTTTCCGAGCGGGTATTTTTGAAGTTGTTCGGAAGAGGTGTTCGCGAGACCTCCTTGGGCGGGAGTTCTGAATGTGGGTATATGCCACCCCCATGCGCCAAGAAAGTAATCCCCCATGATGTACGCAGCTGGAATGTGGAATCATGGCGTATGAGGGTGACATGATCGTTGTTGTTGTCGCTGTTGTTGCTGAACTCCCACCAATGAACACAGCACTATTGAAGAATTGTCAGGAGGCTCATGGTGTGCAGGGGTGGTTGCGTCCATACTTCTCTCACCTAACTCCCTAAGTCCACATGGGTGCGGTAAGCATCCTCCCGTGCCGTGATCCCCCCAGTCCTTCGTATTATTGAGTTCTCTCTCCCTTTTTCTCTCTTTCGCTCTTTCTCTCCCGCTCCCTATCCTATGCCAGGCGTTCTGGGTTGAAGGCCGTCCTGCTCCATCACTTGTGTGAGAGCAGGACAGGAATATATACATATATGGTGATAGTATGTATTGTTGATCCCTCCTCTCCGGTGACTACTGTGTTTTTCATATGACGTGGTTGCCCCAGGGTTCAAAACTATTATTATTGTTATTACCATCATCATCGTCATCATCATCAGCATCATCATCATCATCATCGTCATCGTCATCATCATTGTTATCCGTATTAATTTTAGTAAGATTCCACCATATAAAGCAGGGGCACAGTGTTGTTGGCCCCCAGGTTACAACAACAATGGCTCCCCCTTCAGATTCCCTCGCAATGTAGCCAGGACCCCCGCTCCCGCCTGAGAACTCCTTGCGTTTTGCTCAGGCGTCAGGTTCTCGCTTGGGACGTAATGCCAATGTATTCAAGAATCGCTCTCTCGGCGCTCTGGAGTCGCGCTCTCGCTGGAGACGTGCTTGCAATATACTAAAAATCGCGCCCTTGCGTCGGAGCCCCCTGCAATTTACTCAAGCGCCGCGCTCCCAACACTCAGGCACCGAGGAGTCGCGGTCACGCCTAGGAGCCCCCTCGCGGCTGATTTAGACATTGGGATCTCGCTGCCCACCGTGGCCCCGTTGCTGCCCTTCGTGGCCCCGTTGCTGCCCTTCGTGGCCCCATTGCTGCCCTGCGTGGCCCCATTGCTGCCCTTCGTGGCCCACCCGCTGCCCTTCGTGGCAACGTTTCTGCTCGTCGTGGCCCCCTCGCTGCCATTCGGGGCCTCGTTGCAACCCTTCGTGGCCTCTTCGCTGCCTTTCGTGTTCCTGTTGCAGCCCTTCGTGGCCCGGTTGCGCCCCTTCGTGGCCCTCTCCGTCGCCGTTCGGGTCCCCATTGCTGCCCTTCGTGGCCCCGCCGTCGGCCGTCGTGGCCCCATATCTGTATGCCCTTCGTGGCCCCCGCTAGTTCGCGCTCGTGGCCCCATACGCATGCGCTTCGTGGCTCCGCTGTAGCCTTTCGTGGCCGCCCAATCTACGCATGCCCTTCGTGGCTCCCGCTCGTTTGAGCCCGTCGTGGCCTCATATGCATGCCCTTCGTGGCCCCGCTGTCGCCCTTTGTGGCTCCCTCGCTGCCTTACGTGGCCCGTTGCTACCCTCAGTGGCCCCGTCGTTGCTCTCTGTGGCCCCGCATT